TCAACCTGCGATGTTTCACGTCGACGAGTAAACCAAAGTTAGTAAGAAAATCCGCTCCTAATATAGGCGTCTTCAAATCCGTGACAATAAAAATCCAGCGAAACACTCGTCGCAATCCAAGATCCAAAGTAAAAGATCGCTCACCGAAAGTGTTGATCGGCGAATGATTGACTGCTTGAAGTTGGATCTTCGACGCTCCGACCGATGAAAATTGAGATTTCTCCAACAGTGACTGGGGAAAAATACTCACTTCGGCTCCTGTGTCAACCAGGAAACGCTTGCCTGAGTTCTTATCAAAAATGAAGAAAAGACGACTATGAGGTTTGTCGCCAAGGGAACTTGTCGCCGCTATTCCTTGGCTAGGTCGTTTCCCTGAGGGTATGACTGCGAGGTTGAAGGTGTCGAATGCGATGTCGAATGTCGGCGGCTGGACGAGCACGGGCTCACACACTTGCGAGCTCTGTCACCATAAGTCCAGTGATACCAGCACTCAGCTCCTTGATGATGCTGTTGTCTCCGTGGACTCTTAGATCTGGAAGGACGTCGAGGTGGATGAGATGCATCGCGATGCTGACCTCGACTACGACGATCCTCCTGGAGGGAAGAAGTCAGAGCTTGCACCTGTGCTGTGAGTTGTGTGACTTGCCTGGAAAGCTGTTGAACCTCCGCAGAAACTTGTGGCGGTGATGAGGAAACAGTAGTACTAGCAGGCGTGCACTCTACAGCAGACACAGAAAATGGGGAAGAAATCTCCAAGATTCTATCCGCCAACTCCGCCAATTGTTCGATGGAGACAGAGTCGGATGACGAAGCAAGAATAATTCTGACATTATTCGGTAGGCGTTGTAGAAAAAGCTGCTTCAAAATCCCTTCCTCTAATGTGGATTCTCCTAGTAGTTGTCGCATTCTACGAAGAAGTTGAGTAGGCTTGCGGTCACCTAACTCTTCCGCATTAAGAAGCTGGTGAATTCTCTTCTGTTCGGAAACGCCAGTTCGTTTGACGAGTTCAGATTTCAGTTTGTCATAGCGATCCTTAGCAGGGGGGGGGGGGGGGGGGCAATTATGAAGTCCCTGACCTCCTGTGCTACTTCAGGCTGTAATGAGCTGATGACATGTGCAAATTTAGTCTCTTGTCGCGTAATAGCCCGCGTCAAAAACTGCGCCTCCACCTGGGCGAACCAGAGTGCCGGATCGCCCGGCCAGTACGGCGGTAACTTGAGTCCAAAAGCAGTAACAGCTGGCCCGGTACTGCCCGGTGCCGTCGCGGCCGCGGCGGGGTCGGAGTCGGGCATTTCCGTTGACGGTAATGTCGTCGTCATCATACACACAAAAGAAAATATCGCTCGTAGAAGAACAAAAAATTCGGGGTCACCAATGTAGGAATAAATGTTGTGTAGAAACTAAATGAGTATTCTTACCATTAATAATAATCCTCAGCGTTGATATCTCGAGTATAGAAAGAAACTGGAAGGCGAATCATGAAGAGGAAGAATAGAGCGATATAGCGAAGTGAAGAATCAGCACGTGGAGCGCGACTAGCTAGCTAGCGAAATTAACGCGAATATGATGAAGGCACACAACCTTACAGTTCACACTTCCCGAAATTAAATAGAAGACAAATCTAATTTGCGATTTAGTCCTCAAATAAAATGATGATGATGAAACTCGCTATTAACGTGAAAACTAATGAGAAGAAGCTTGTTGAATAATCCGAAAACGTCCTATATAAAACACGTCCGATGATGAAAACTGAAGACAGGAGAAGTGAGTAAAATCCGTGTGTGGAGACTTATCCAAGTGCGCTAAAAGTGTGATGATTGGCTTATTAAAACAATAAGGTGCGATCCGATCGGAGTAACTAAAATAACACTCTTGTTGCTGGGTGGTTCCATGGATGAAATTAACTCAGAGAATATGTAGAATGTGCAGCTGTAAATTGTTATTGTTACTGAAGCTGGCTGAACGTAAAGTACTAACAAAAGGAATGTTTAAAATGCTGGCTATGTACAATGTTGATAAACATTTGTGACCTTTGTAAAGTTCAAGTCACTACAGGACGGTTCGCTGTAACGTTCTCGTCTCGTAATCCTTGTCTCAGTTCAGTCCCCCCTCCTGCGCGAAGGCTTTGATATTTCATTAAATTATTAGAGAAAGAAGACAATCGTTGTACCGTTTTCGCGGGCGTTTTCGACTCTTAATCTTTGTCTGAATTTCAAAAGTGTTTTTTGTCTGCTCCCTTTTCTTCCTACGTCCTCTTCCTTTACTATCCTCTCTTTTTTTTGTGGCCGGCTTTTTTTTTTGGGGGTGGCGCCCCCACCGCCCCCTAGCTACGCGCCTGCTGTCAGATGAACATATTTTGATACCTTGTAAGGCAATAAATTACGGTCAGATAAGCATTCAGGGTCCCGCCTTAGGGCCCCTGGTGGGGTTGAGGGTGTGGAAACCCCGGAAACTCTGAGGTTTTAGGCATTTGATTACGGTCAGATGAACATATTTGTATACCTTATTTGTGACACTGGCAAGACACTGATTTGCGTGAGGTCCAGCGGGCGGAGCCCCCACAAACCCAAGGGTTTTAGGCACTAAATTACGGTCGGATGAGTATCAAGGGGCTCACCTTAGGGCCCTTAGTTGGGTCCCGGGGGCAAAGCCCCCGTTTTAGGCGTTTAATTACTTTAACTACTCTGTCTTTCTTGCTCTCTTTCTTTCTATTTCTCTTTAATATGCTTTTTCAAAAAATTCGGGGGTGGGGGAGGGAGCTGGAAGCTCCTGATCCCCGCCGTTCCGCGGGCCCTGACATGTAGGCATCTCAAGAGGCATATTTCTTGCCTGGCTGTAAATTTAGGAATTTGTCATTTTACAACAAACGCATAAAAAAGTATAATTTACTAAAGAATGAGAACAAATCTCGGAAAATTATGACATTTCAGCATTATGTGTAAACCACCGTTATGGAATTAGAAATAAACCACGATTAAATTTTATTTCCCCCGAGCCCCCCCCCCCCCCTCTTGTTGGTGGAAAAATCGCAACTGATCTCCCCTACCTTTCTTCTTTCTCTTTTTTTCTTTTAAGTTTGCTGGGGAGGGGGGAGGGGGGGCAAGGTCCTTTCGGCCCCAACCTTTTACACACATTGTTGGAGGGATTAACCGCAAATGATCTATTTCCCCTTCTTTTCTTTTATTCGTCTCCAATTTCCTTCCCTTTATCTCCTCTTTTCCTTTTTTCTTTCCAGTTCTTTCCTTCTCTCTTATTTTTTTTTCCTTCTCTTTCTTTTAAGTTTAGTGGGGAGGGGGGAGGGGGAGGAGGCAAGGTCATTTTGCCCCACCATGCACACCCCGATCCACAACTTGTTGGCGGGAAAATTGCAACTATTACCCCCTTCTTTTCTTTTCCTCTTCTCCAATTTCCTTCCCTTAATCTCCTCTTTTCCTTTTTCTTTCCATTTCCTTCCTTCTCTCTTATTTTTTTTTGATTTGGGGGGGGGGGGGGAGGCAACAGCCTAGGACGCCCCCCCCCCCCCGATCTCCTTCTTCCCCCTTTTCTTTTCCCTTTCTCTCCTCTTTCCCTTTCCTTATCTCTCTCTCTCTTTTTTTCCTTCCTTTTTTTTTTCCTTCTTTTTTTCCCTTCTTTTTTTTCCAGGGGGGGGGGGGGGGGGGGGGCGGGCGGGCCCCCGGCCCCCCTGGATCCGCCTCTGGATCCTCCCCCCCCCCCAAGTCAAGAGCCTCCCCACCCCCACCGAACTACAACTTGTTGGCGGGAAACTTGTTACTGATATCCCCCTTATTTTGTTCTCTTCTTCCTCTTTTTTTCCTTCCCTTTATCTCCCATTTTCCTTTCATTTCTCTCTTTTTTTCCTTTCCTTTCCTTTCTCTTCCTTCTCTCTGTTTCAGGTTTGCAAGGGGGATGCAAGGCCCTTTCGGCCCCCGATCCACAGGTTGTTGGCGGGATTAATCGCAACTGTTCTCCCCCTCTTTTCACCCTTTTCTTTTCCTTCCCCCATTTTTGGGGGCGGGGGGCAAGAGCCCCCCCCCCCCCCCCACCGAACTACAACTTGTTGACGGGAAACTTGTAACCGATATCCCCCTTATTTTTTTCTCTTCTTCCTCTTTTTTCCTTTTTTCTTTCACTGTCCTTCCTTCTCTCTTATTTTTTTATGTGTGGGGGGGGGGGGCGGGGGTGGGGGGGTGGTAACAACTGGGAGGCAAGGCCCTTCCCCGCCCCCCCCCCGATCTCCTTTTTTTTCCCAGTTTCTTTCTCTTCTTCCATTTCCCTTTCTCTCCTCTTTCCCTTCTTTTCAATCTCTCTCTCTCTTCTCTCTTTTTCTGTTTTTTTCCTTTTTCCTTTTTTCCGGGAGGGGGGGGGGCCCCGGGGGGGGGGGCCTTGATCCGCGCCAGAGTTACACAACATATTCTGACCTGAAGCAGCTTTTTTGCTATTAGTCTCTTCTCAATGACAATTTGCATTATTTTTTTAAACGCCAGCGTCAATTTACGTGAGCTTTCGTAGATTGCATATAGCAAAATAACTATTTGTTGGGTCACGTAACCCAACACTTCGTAGATTTGGGTGACCTGTTTCACGAAAGGGCGCAATACGTGATACGTGATCACGTGATCACGTGATACGTGATACGTGAGTGTTCGTTGCAAGCCCACAAATACTTATATGCTAGATGATCAACCTTTTCTGATCGATTCCACAACGTTTCTTTCACAATGCAATCGCATGACCATTACTGGTCTTTACCTTTAATATACGAAGGTGTTAACTAATTTGATAGTGGGAATTCATAATCTTCTTGTTTAATATATGATATTCTCCCTTCCTTCATACAACCTTCCTTACTTTTCCGTTCTTTACCTCACATCAGCTCTCTTTCTCTTTCTCTCTGTACCCTTCTCCTTCTTCTGACTCATTCCATTCATTCTCCCCACCTCGATATACTGTCCTTCTTGCTCTATCACCTTGTCCTCCCTTTTACTCTTTCTTTAGTGCTCATGCTTTGTGTATGTTATTTTAATGTCGAAGATGTCAACGTCTATGTATATTTGTATTCCTCGTTAATTACTGCATTTGTTGTTAATTTATGTATTTTCATTGCTTGTAATAAAATCCCATGTAACATTTCCATGTACTTAACTTGGACGAATAAAAGTGAATTGAATTGAATTGAATTGATTTATTAGTTTGCGCTCGCGAAATGGAACACAACCACATGTACGACGGGCGGTCGTCAAAGAATGAAGGAAGGAATTTTAATTTGATTTCATATTAGGTTTCAGGTTAGGGTTAGGTCCAACGTAGAAAGCAGGCTTGAAGTTGGGAATTCGATAAGTGATTGGAATTTTACAGAGGATCATTTTGTTGCTGGTGTCGCGGTGAGATGCGTCTTCACAGAGCCGCTATCCTGTGTCAGATTTCTCCGATTGCTCTGCTGTCTCCCGCAATGTGTCCACATGTATAGCCGTTGATGAACTCAGTCGGTCATCAAGTTTTTAAGACATTACTGATTCATTTAAGTATAATAGTATTGAAAGTGATTAAAATCCACTAGTCTTATCTTGTTTCTCATTATTTTGTTGTTGTTGTTTCCAGGGTGAGGTGTACCTGAAAGGACACAAGACGGGATATCCACTACCGGTTCCACGGATTCCACCCGACTCGGATACTTCTCGCATGGTGTTCATCTGGATAACCGAATATCTGCCCAACTCAGCCGGTTATGTGCTTCAGAATATCGGTTCTCTACAGTACAACGTGACCCCCGACAATGTGAGTGATTGCTACACACGACCAATCATGACTTATCTTTACTATTAACCTCATATCAAAATGTCATGTGCATTTTTATATATATATATATATATATATATATATATATATTTTTTTTTTTAGGGGGGAGGTATATTTGGGGGTATTTCCATTTCCTAATCGCACATCACCATCCCCTCCCCATCTCTCTCAATCTATCTCTCTATCTCCCTCCTTCTTTACTCTCTTTCGTACGTTCATATGTTGTTCATTTTGTCTTTATTTTACAGCCGTCACTTCCTCTTCTTCTATTGCACTTTTATCCGCACCAATCTTCTGAATCCAGGTGAAACAGAGGGTATACCATTGAAAGTATCTAGTCGAATATCAGTGTCGTCTGATCTTCATATCTTTTGTTAATACCTTGGTTTCCTTTTCTTCATTCAGGTCCCTGCTGGAGAAAAGAACCGTTTGAACACATCCTACGCTGCTTTCGATTTTCTTACCCCACAGGTACGGCATTTATAATGAGGCAGGGGTGTATCAGTGTGGTGTAGCCTTTTAATCTGATTATTTGGGGGCGCCTTAATGGCGCATTTCTTTTTAAAATGTTGTGATATTCTTTCCTCTCTAAATCATAACCATGAAGAGCTTGAACTTGGATAGCAGCCGGAGAAAATTTGAGAGTGGGTGGGGTCGCGAGGGGGGTGGATGGTGAGAAGGATATAAGGGAGAAAAGGAAGAAGAGGACGACTGTAGAAGAAGAAGAAGAAGAAGAAGAAGAAGAAGAAGAAGAAGAAGAAGAAGAAGAAGAAGAAGAAGAAAAGAAATAAAGGAAGGAAGAAGAAGAAGAAGACGAAAAAGGGGGAAGTGAGAGAGAAAGAGAGAGAGAGGATGAAAAATAGCCTACTGCCAACTATTTTGTAGTAGTTTTTGAGTTGATGATGTACAGGACAGACACTACCAAACTCTGAAAGATATATCATCGCTGTCGTATCATCGTTACTTGTTTTGTTTTGTTTCTAGGTCAACAAGATGTACCCGAACATGGAAATGCAGATCAATATTAAAAGCACCAAGGCTCCCGTTGTCAAAATAGCGTCTACCGGGGTACAGGCCGACTTGGTCGGGGACTTCATCACGTACGCAATCTTACCCAACAAGACCCTGGCCTACCTGTCCACACTCAGTATGGTAATATCTTTCTCTCATTATTTTCCGAGTTTTTTTTCTTTTTTTCTAAATCGTTGCACATGCCTTAAAATGTACAGCAGTAGAATCCCACGTTAACACCCACATTAATTCATAGTGGATTAAACTCGAAGCTAAATGAAGTGATCCCCGATATGACTCCTGAAAGATTGAATTCCACCTTCCTGCCGAAAATGAATTCCCTTACACAATGCAAATTAAAACCCTCACTTGAGTGGTTACAGATTTATATATTAATTTTGAATGTCAAAGTCGAGTAATTGACGTTTTGGCCAGAGATAGAAGGATATCGCTCGTAGGAGGTGGAAGAGGGGGAGGGTAATTAGGTAGAGGCGCAGGCACGGCACCCATCCCACTTTTTTTTAATCTCCCGAGTTTTGGCACTGTGTTGATATATTTGTCTTTAATCAGAATATTTTTTACCATGTATATAACTTTGTAAGATGTGACTTAAATATCTTTGAATAATACGAATAAGCCTATAATATGCATGATTCTGAATAGATTAATCAAGGAGAAATTGCACCATTTAGCGAAGCAATTTTCTTTCCTGTAATATTCTCCCTTATGTTTCCTGCAGAGCATATCTGCCAAGGTGTCTATGAACTTCACCGGGAACAACATAACATGGAACATAGCGTCATGCAGGTAACCGGGTCATCCCAGTGGACAAGAAGATGTACAAGAAAAAATTCCAAGAGGTCGCACTCGAGACCGACAGCACACGAAAGGGGAGTAACAAAAAACAATCTAGTGAGCTGTCGGTCTAATGGACCTACTAAAAGGTTTTCAGAAGGCCAACGAGACCGAATGTTTGGTCTAGTACATACATATATGTCTGTTAATGTATTCAAATATATTACATATAAATTATGTAAATATTATTATAACCCCCCCCCCCCCCCTCCTTTCCTGAGGGGCTTTCACCCCATATTCTCAATGCGCCACTCTCATGTATAATATAGACACAATTGCTCATGGTTATACATTTTCCCCAAAGTGACGCGCTTAACCAGATGATAGCTAAGAAATGTAAAATGTTTACATTTATTTTTACAGCGCCACCTTGAAAGGAGTTCGCTCAGCAGAGGTGCCATTTCTTGTAAGTAAAATATTAAGATAACTCGTCATGATATTGATTCATATCATTTTCTTCATTTTGTGTTATATACTTTTCATTTAAACTATTGTTAGCATTCACTTTGAGATAATAATTGATGAGAACAAGCTTTATAAAGTAACTACAAATTTGATATTCAATAAACATTCGCAAAGTCCTGTCATAGTATAGGAAAGTTACTGATGTAGACTATATATGGGGCGTTAATGTGAGGTTTCAAATGGCAAACACTAAAACAAGGGACTTTTTTCTCTTTTCAATCATTCATATCGATTGCCTTTCAGACATCTAGCCTTCAGGTTGAATTAGGCAACACATTCTATCTTAACCGTGAGTAGCACTTTTCAAATGTTGATGGTGATCTTAACTTGACGCGGTCTCTTCTCGAGGTAACAGATACAAGATAATAAAACAGTGTAAATTTAAGACACATGTTATGGTACGTACATTGCACATAATAAAACTGATACATAGATATTGTTCATGGAATATTTGTGTGCACTGCCCATATTATTAGGAGGGGATTAAACTTTCAAATACTAAGATAATTTTTTGTTTACTTATAAGTGCCCTTGCACACTGTTGAATGGGCCCTACCAACGATGCTTGACCGATGGGACGGGTTCAGTATTGGTGCCCTACTTAATGGAACGCAATCTCAATGACTTATTGACTAGACCCCATTGGATATCCTACACAAATCTTGCTCGGATGACGTCCGATTAGAATGTTTGCACATGTCGAATGGCGGTGGACATGCCAGGCGATTGACATTTTACTGAAGTTGATTTTTCGAAATTCTTTGCGCTCGTGTCATGGTGCGTCTGGTACATGTTTAATGTTCCTCTTTTATAGGATAAAACAATTGTAATTTTGGTTTATAAAATATTTTATTTCTCCAAACAGAGGTAATACATATAGATACAAATTACACCATTCAGAATTTAAATCAGTCCAAACTACGTCCGTATATGTTCTTTTTCATCCAAAACAGTATGCAGAAGACCGATTTATTTCAAAATACACATACTTGGTCTTTTTTAACAATACGTTTAAAATTAAACAATACATTGTACTTAAAATAACGACACTCTTTAAATGAAGGAAGAGAATTAACCAAAAGTAAAAAGTATCAAATATTCATTTCGATTTCATTCATCACCTTCATCCTATAGAGCTCGGTGCTGTGGGAATTCCCATTCATCAGCTTATCAATTTGCCTGATGGATTTGTGTTCACCAACCCTGTCATCTACCTAGGAGAGGTAAGGAATAACCATCCATCGAGCACGATTATCATAAATAGGGCAGTGACGTATCAAAAGACAAGGGCGTATCCATAATAGTTTAAAGCTGGCGTACCCACACACCCTCACGTTAACCCTCCCCCCCCCCCCCCAAAAAAAAAAAAAAAAAAAAGAAAAAAAAAGGTGAACAAAACTTAACCGAATGCTATCTCAATCTTCATTTGTTTTTGTTGTCGTTGTTGTTGTTGTTTTGTTTTGTTTTGTGTTTTGTGTTTTTGTTTTTGTGTTTTTGTGTTTTTGTGTTGTTGTTGTTGTTTTTTTGGAGGGGAGGGGGGATTTACAAAACAAAAGGCTCAGCTAGCTGGTTCCTTTCAAATCATGACATATTAACTTCTAATAATGGCGACAAATAATTTGTTAATATTTGCTAAAGCCACTTTAAAGGCCGATTGCCGCATAAATACCTCTGACTTAAAAAAAATCATATGAAACAACAAACAATTTACTATCAAACAATCTTATACAAATCATATATATCTTCTACAATTATATTTGAATTTTCTCCAGATAAAAAATGCAACTAACATTTTAACAATCTTTAATATAGAACTAAATTTCATGCAGAATTCACTCACAAGACACGATCATTTCACATAAAACATGCATAATGGTCGATGGTGATATTTTAACGTTTTAGTTTGTGCAAACTTTTTTTCTTCTTTCATTTTGATGTTTCACAGGGATTTTTGAAGATCGGGACGGACCTTACCTATACACCATAACGTCCAACTGTCCTTACCTGCACCATCTGAAAGCCGTACATATTTAGTGTACCTATGGCTTCTAGTAACAAAGGGGTTAAAGCTTATCTGCCATAGTTAACAGGAGGGATTAGACCGCCCTGCAAGGACACTGAACAGGTGGTTATCTCATCAACTCGGCTCTCAGTTAACATAAGAAAAAGAGGATCATGCATGGGGGACCAATGGTCACCGATTAGGCATTGTTTGTTGTATAGAGGGCGCAAGTAGCTACAAGTAGTGCAGTGGGCCTTTCAAATACGACAACCAAGAGTCGATCGACGAAATACATTTCACATCGTCACAACCAAAGAATAGAACCTTAAATCATCACAGTCATCACACAGTTAAAAATCTTCTAATTAATGCATTTAGTTCCTATATCAAGAAAATGTCTTTTAAAAAAGTCGACGTCCCAGATTTATTTTCAGCCAAAGGCTAGTTAAGGTTAATTATACTTTTCAAATTTTAATTCTCACAATACTTTTTGTAATTTTCAACTTTGATTACAGAACCAAATACAGATAAATGCATTTAAACAACTTTATAATTTCTTACTTTATTTGTATTAGTCTTTTTGTTCGCCAATTTTACTCATTTTATCATAAATAATATTTTGTATTATCTTGTATGATCATGCCATTGTATTGTGTAGGGTATAATTTGTTTGAATTATTATATTAAAAAAATATTATTAAGAGCGTGTAAAAAAATAAGGCAGAGCAGATCAAAACATCTTGGATTTTTAAACTACAAGCAGAATGTAGTATATTTGTGTATCACTATGTTTATAATAAACAAATATTGACGCAGAAGAGTATGTTTTTTTCATTGTTTAGTGCTTGGACTATGGAAAAGTGCTCAGACAAGGGAACTCATGAACATAATAACTTATGATACAGTGTAACTGCTATGATCAGTTTTTACCTAAATCTTTATGAGACCAACTCAATTAAGCGACTCAATGATAATAGAATAATGTTCATTCACATCACATGTAAAATGTAGTTCAGCTGTACTACATAACGGGTACATCTACCCTTTTACTTTACTGGGATGTAGAGTGGCAAATGTAGATTAACCTTAACTGTAGTGGAGGAGCCCCCCCCCCCCCCCCCAGTACAGTAATATGTAGAATTTTCTGTAAAATGCATAACATTAGCAGTTAGCATATTAACTAGGCTATGACGACAAAAATGTGCATATTAGGAAAAAAACTGTAAAATATACCATTTTGTTCCTTTATACGTGAATATCCACAAACAAGCAATTGTTCGTGTTCATCGGAATCCGACGGCCGAGATCATAAGGGGGTGGGGGGGGGGGGGGGCTGGTAGGGAGGTGCTCAAAATAGCCCAGTTCAGTTAGGGTTAATCTTTCCGAAGGACATCAGTGCCAGTGGCGGATCCAGAGGGGGGGGGGGGCACAGGGGGCACGTGCCCCCCGGCCCCAAAAAATATGTTAAAATCAGCCCTAAATTCGCCCAAAATGTACTTAAAAATAGGGGCGTGCCCCCCCCCCCCCGGCCCCAAAAAATGTATTACAAATGTTATTTTTTAAAAATTAAAAAAAAAAAAAATGCCAATGGCTGACATGAAAAGGAGACCTTACCCCCCCCCCCCCCCCCCCACGGAACAAAATGTCAAATTCAAAAATTTCACACTTCACATTTACTTTGCCGGTAATAAGGGTGCAGTCCGAAGGGTTGTAAATATTTAGTCGGTAAATTTAAGTAAGTAGGGAGCTCGGGCACACATAAAGTGTAAACTGTGCTTACGTAAATGTGAAGTGTGAAGAAAAAAAATTGGGGGCTAGTTTTCATACTATAGTTTTGCTAAGGAATGTAATTTTTGTTATACAACTAAACATCGTAAACCTTTGAGGGGTAATCACTTTCGCCCCTCTCGTTCCCTATGCTCCTTCATCCCTCGCATATCATCCCCCGGGCATGAAAAGAATCGCCGTCCCTGGTACATGGACCCCAAGGAAGAACAGTAGTGTTCTATAAACACTGCTGAATTGGGCTTTCCACCGATTTTAGTCTATTTACATGTATAAATATTTCATTTTGTATATTTTACTATGTATAATATTTTGATCTGATTTCGGAAATAAAAGCAACAACAAACAACAACAATACCAACGGAATACAGATTTTTTACAATATTTACGTGTACATTTTGAAGGATATTATGCAAAGGAGCATAGCGACCGAGCGAGAAGACTTTTGCATTAATTTGTATAAGTCTAAACGTTGCACTATTGGGTCCTCCAGAGCCTAAAAGAGTGTGGCAGTCTTTGGTCAGTATTTGCTATACATTTTTTGTTCGCACTTCTCAAATTGTCCGGGGGATGAGGTGGGGTAGTACAAGCTAGGAGGCGCTGGTTGTCCTTGGAAGAGAGGGGAATGCTGAGCGTGACTGTTTGGAATGCGATCCTGGTGGAGGGGGATTTGTAGGTACCTTGGTAGCCTTTAGACAAGGCCTCATGTCTGATAGACGCCGAGCGACTAAAAAAAGAGCTTTTACTACTCCGCATGAATTATTCATAATTTTGGATTATTTGACCAATCAGAAAAGAAAAGGTAAAAGAAGTAAATAAGTTTTGCTTAAATGAGATGAACATATAAATGATAAATACAAAATATCACATTCAAATCTATTTTACATGTAAAATAGATTTGAAAACCAAAGATTTGAAAACCAAATTCATGACCCCATACCAAAACTTTGGAAAACCTTAATTAAACAAACACCCCCTTTATACGCGTTTTTGGGTCACGCACGCTTAGAGCATTTATATTTGACTGAGACCCCCGGGAACAGAGTCTTATATCGTGATTCGAAATGGTACCAGGTTTCAAGGACCTACTACATGGTTTCACGTACAATCAGGGGCGGATCCAGCCGGCTGCAGGGGAGGGGGCCCAATTCGTGAGAAAATATTTAGAGGCGAAACAGCCGTCCGATAATTCGCTCCTGGTGGGGTGGGGTGGGGTAGTGAGCACTAATTTTTTTGTTTGGCCCTCGAAAATTTGAAAAATCGCACCCCCGTTAATTTTACTTTTTTTGGAGATGGGCTACGCTCCTTTGAACGCTTGGGGGGGGGGATCTAAAAAAAAAGGGTAAATTTAACGTGGATCCGTCACTGCGTATTATACATGTTATACGCGATCTTATCAAGATGTAAAAGAAGCCAGAACTACGCTAATGAAGTGTATAAAGCAAGCTAGACCTTTACATAAATATCTTTCAAGCTGTATAGGACGTGTACTGGTAAACATCATTTTTTTTTCTATTAAGTGTTTTGATTTGATAATAATTTGTGACGCTAATGGCAATGTGATTTTGACTTTTTATTGCAAACATAATGCGCGTTCATGATTCTGGCCCCAAATTAATCTGCTCCTGCCGGGGCGGTTTGGCATTGTATCCGCTATGTGAAGGCAGTGTGGGGCTGTGATATATTAGGCGGTAGTCTATTTAAAGATTAAGTTAGTTGAGGTGAAAACACCATAATATTAATAATCAGCAGCATTCTGGGAAAATATTGAGTAGATCTAGAGTCTACTTATGTTCATACAGTTTAGGATTATTAAGTCAGTTTACCTTAGGTTCAGATGATGGGAGACTTATTGCTATCATTGGCAGTAAAGAATGCTGCTAAATTCGAGGGCGTCCGGAAGGGCTCACAGAGCACTTTGCGCACACGTTGCCATATAATATAAGCCCACCCCCTCCCCACCTTTGGAAAATCCAATATATATATATAGCGCAAAACACTTTTCTGTTTATGATAATAATTAAAGTATTATTATGAGGTCTGTAAGGCGCCGAATACACTTAAAATCAAATGCTAAAAGCACACTTATGAAAAACAATTGTATTTGCCGTTGTGATGTTCGGAAAAGAATATTGAAATTGCCTTGAGTGTATTTTACAAATAGTGATAATGTTAGGTATAAGTTTAATTCCTCTTTTTTTTCTTCTTTTTTTTTCTTTTTTTTTTTTTTTGGGGGGGGGGCTAAGTCCAACTCTAGAACCACTACCCATGTAATGCTCAGAAAACTATTTTTGCTAAACTATTTTACCACACCAAGAACACGAATTAACCAGTTCATATCACCTCCATCACTATACGTTTACGTTCGAGATTGGATTTTCTAGCGCAACCGGAAGAAAAAGAAACAAACTATTTGATGAGCATGAATAAAACCTTGTATGGTATTCGATCATTTCAATATATCTCTTTAAGTTGATTAATTCTCTGTAACATGTGGTGCAATCTTGACAGAGTTTTTTTTTTTTCAAGATGTCGGTAATAAACTTCGAGCATCTTCTATAAAGTATTTTTTTAATCGAGGCGTTGTGGTCTAGTGGATACGTCTACGGACTGTTGATTGCAGGGTTTGCGGTTCGAGTCCCGCTGCGGTACTATTGTCCTTCATAAATACATTAATCTACATGTGCCACTCTCCACCCTGGTAAAGTAAAATGGTATGTCTACCCGGTAAGGAAAGAAATCCATAATGCCTTATCATGGTAACTCTGCTATAAACGGGTTGATAATATGATTCTTTGTATTAAGCGCAGTAGAGTTTATAAAGTAGTAGCTGAACTACATGACTGTATATATATATATATATATATATATATATGATATGAATAAACATTATTCTGTTATCATTAAAATAGAGACGCTTTATTGAGTTGGTTTCTTAAAGATACTATGTCCCTTTTGCAGCCAACATCAAATTATGTAGAACTTTGCAGGAATTATGAATATGTCATGTATGTCCTATATGTGAAATTTGTCCTAATATTCAAACTATGCAAGGAAACTCTTTTACTTGCTAGACTTCACTGTCAGACACTATTGAGTGACTGACTGGCTTTTTCTTCTTTGGTAATAACATAAATAAAATGAGTTGTAAAGGGTTCGTGAGCATTTGTCTACATCAATAACCCGGGACCTACGTAATACAAGCTTTGCTTTTTAGTAGATCCCCCACTTTATTGATTGATTTATATGATTGTATTCTCTGATATAACTATTATCATGTACATTATGTTTTCTATATTGTATGTTTAGCTATAATAATTACCATTGTTCATTATGTTCAATTGTTATTTTCGATAAAGTGAAATAAATAAACTTTAACTTTAACTTGAACTTGAATTTCTTGTATTGGCCAAAATTAAACTGATTGAATCTTTGCGCAGCATAAAAATGTACGATCATTCGGTACAATGGTCTGAAAATCAGACTATTACTTACTGGCTTTATACATTTACCTCTCAAGTCGATTTGACAACTGATAGTCGTTATTTCCCCATTTAAAGACATTTTCAAGCCCCCCCCCCCCTTTTTTTTAAGGGAAGTTCTAAATTAGTATTATCTTTCAAATGCCGTTGGAATTAAATTTGGCCTGCAAATGGGACATAATACCTTTAAAGGGACTTGGTAACATTGTTTAGATGAGATAAAGTTGTGCTAAGGTTGTGACTTCAATGCTAGATGTAAAATTAAAGATAATCTGAACATTTGAGTGAAAACGGACCATTATTAATGATACAAAGTGGGAAAACTGATCTGATCGATTCCTCAATTCTTCCAACTATATTATTACAATTTAATTTCATTTTAGGTGAATGTAGATCGTCACAAGGCAATGAATTGGCTCTATATAGCATTCCAGACATTTTAGTGCTCAAAAGTTTTTTATAGCCTGTTTTATGTCTTTTTTACATGGAAAAACTGTTGGGAAAATTTTAAAATGGTTGAGAGAATTTACTGTTAATTGCTGTTAGAGGGTTTGCACAGTGACGCCTTCAAAGAAAACCATAGATATCCTCGTGGTTTGAGAATTTTTCAGGATTGTTTGCATGTTCAAAGACTTCAGCGTATTCAAAACCGTGCTGCTCGTGTTGTTCTTCGAGCTAGGACACAGGACCATGCATCACCCCCTACTTAAACAACTTCATTGGCTACCGGTCGAAAAAAGAATAATATACAAAACCGCACTGTTTGTTTATAAATGTGCACATAATTTTGCACCTGAATATTTGTCTTCCTTGTTACAATCTTCTCGTCACTCCACATAATATAATCTTCGCTCAACTACAGACACAACGGCTCTTCATGTGCCTAGAATAAAATCGAAGATAGGTGAGCGAAGTTTTTTACTACAGTGGTCCGGTTACATGGAATAGTTTACCTTGTGAATTACGTTGTAGTATGCCAATTGAAGTATTTAAGAAACATCTCAAAAACACACCTATTTACACTGTAATTAACTGCATTACATTTTCGATCATTTTTTGTTGAGTTTTAATTCATTGATGTATTTGTTTTATAAAGCGCTTTGATCAGTTGTAAATTGGATATAGCGCTATAAAAGAAACAATTTATTATTATTTATTAGAGGGTAAGTAGGCCTACATTAGAATATACCTTGAATATACCTTGAAGGCCACACCTCGCCATCGTGGTGATGAAGATCCCGTAGATAGTGTGGTGTGGCAGGGTTAAGGGGGTCCCATGGGATAGTTCAATAGAAGGGAAATAATAAGTAACATTTCATACAAACATTACGCAATTTTTCCATCAACCTTCAACAATTTTACTGAGTCACTTTAAACTGATCATAGCAGTTACACTGTATAATAAGTTATTCTGTACATGATCTCAATCCTCTGACGCACTTGTTCATAGTCCAAACACCAAACAATGAACAAAACACACACTTCTGTGTCAATATTGTTTATTATAAACATAACGATACATAAATATACTACATCCTGCTTGTAATTTGAAAGTCAAAATTTGTATCTGCTTTGCCTTATTTTCTTTAAACGATGCCAATAATTTTGTTTTTAAATCTCAAAATTCAAACAAAATAAAGTGGCACGATCAAACATGATAAACAATGTTATTTCTGATGAAATAAGTAAAATTGGCAAAACATTTTTTTACAACATAAGTAAAGTGAGAAATGAAGAAGTTGTTTAAATGCATTTACCTGTATTCAGTTCAATAATCAAAGAGAAAAAAGACAAAACTACTTTGAGAATTCAAACTTGAAAGACATAATAAAGTTTGATAATATATATAAATAATATATATCTGTAAAGCGCATTGAGAGGGCCTGCGGTCCTGAAATGCGCTATATAAGGACGAACTATTATTATTATTAATATTGTTATTAATTAGCCTGCGGGTGAGAATAAATCTGCGTCGTCGACTTATAGTTTAAAGCAAATTTCTTGAAACCGGAACTAAATGCACTACTTAGAAGGTGATTAACTGTGTGATAATTGTGAGGATTGAATGTTCTGGTCTTTGGTGCGTGCAACTGTCTGTTACGATGTAAAGTTTCATTCGTCGATCGACTCTCGTTTGCCGTGTTTAACCCGCCTGTTACCAGAAGCCATAAGTACACTATACATGTACGACTTTTAGATGCAAGTTGCACGGGTCGGGAAAATGGAACGTTATGGTGTATAGGTCAGGTCCGTCCCGATCTTCAAAAACCCCTGTGAAATACCAAAATAAAATCAAAAGATTTTGAAAGGTTTACACAAACTAAAACGTTGAAAATATCAACATGACCATAATGCATGTTGAGTGAAATAAGTGAATGATTCCGCATAAAATGAAGATCTATAATTAAGAATGAGAAGAAAAAAGTGCTAGTTGCATTGTGTATCAAAAGAAGATTTAAATACAATTCCGTAGATTCCACTATTTTCAGCATGCATTTCACACCAAAATAAAGTGTTAGCTCTTACAAATATTTATTAAAACAAAACCAAGGTTACACATTTTAAACATGAATCCCAAAAGAGTGCATTTCCACTCCTATAAATTGAGATAGCACTCGGGCGAAAAATTTCGTTCACTTTTTTTTAGGGGGGGAGGGGTTAGGGGCTTCAAACGTGAGAGGATGGGGGTACGCCAGCTTTAAACTATACTGGATACACCCCTGTCTTGTGGATACACCCCTGACGCTGGATACGCAACTGCCCTATTCATATTTTTCGTGTCCCACGGATGGTTATGTCTTACCTCTCCCAGGGATACGACAGGTTTGGTGAAGTTGAAACCATCAAGCTGCGGCAGGGGAGCTCCTACAGCACCGAGCTCTAAAGATGAGGATAATGAATGAAATCGAAATTAATATTCATTACATTTTTTTTTAATCCGATAAAAGAGGAAGGTTAAACTCAGTATCATAAACGTGTACCAGACCCACCATGATACGAGCGCAAAGACTTTCGAAAAATGAACTTCAGTACAAAATTTCAATCGCCTGTGGCATGGACACCGCCATTCGACATGTGCAAACATTTGGATGACGTCATCCGAACATGATTTGTGTAGGATATCCAATGGGGTCTATTCAATAAGTCTTTGAGATTGCGTTTCATTAGGTAGGGCACCAATACTGAGCCCGTCCCTCGGAGAGGACTTAAAGTCGCTGGTCCCCATGCTTGCTTACTTACAAGCAAACACATGTTTTCTCAGCAGTCAGGTAAACAAACATAACAACCAACCAAACAATCACAAAAAAATTAAAAGTGCTACTCACTGTTAAGATCGGGGATCAGGTCAACTTTGATCGCTGTGTTGACTGCAAGCTGAAGGGCAGATGTCTGAAAGGCAATATTTATTATTGAAAAGAAAGAAAATTATTTAAAGAATATGTTTGCCATTTAAAATGTTACTTACCCTCACATTCACGCTCAACTATATATCAGTAACTTTACTGTAGTTCAATGACAGGATTATGAGTATGTTTGTTGAATATCAAATTTGTAGTTCCTTTATTATAGAGCATGTTCACATCAATTATCTCAAAGTGAATGCACACAAAAGTTTAAAGCCCCTCTGCACTAGTTTGGCATGGAGGGATTAAACCTCCCTGCAAGGTCACTGGCAGATGGATCTCACCAAATCAGCTCTCAATAATTCAACATAAGAAAAAGGGCACCATGGGTATTAACGGGTGCCGCTTAGGCATTGTTGACTATATAGAGGGCGCAAGTAGCTATAAGTAGTACAGTGGAGCGAAATATAAGGTATACAAAAAAGGTATGACCCCCCCAATAAAGAAATTGATATGAATGAATATCATAACGAAGTGTCATAATATTTTACTTACAAAAATGGTCCCACTGCTGAGCGAACTGCTTTCATGGTGGTGCTGTAGAAATAAATGTAAACATTTTACATTTCTTAGCTATCATCTGGTTAAGCGCGTCACTTTGGGGAAAAAGTATAACCATGAGGAATTGGGTCTATATTACATTACAGTGGCGTATTGAGAAATTGATAAATATGGGGTGGAACCCCTTCCGGAAGTAGGAGGGGGGTGTAATAATATTTATATCACTTATATGTTATATATTTAAATATATTTAAATACATAAGCATACATATTTCTTTTTTGTAGCTCCCCCTTTTCCTCATTTTGGCGATTATGTGTGGTCTCGCGTGCGACCTCTTGGAATTCTCTTTAAAACAACAAAAAAATTATATTCTCTTTGTTGGTCGGTCTCATGGGCTATTTGTCTACTAGGATGACTCTGTTACCTGAATGACGATATGTTCCATGTTATGTTGTTCCCGGTGAAGTTCACAGACACCTTGGCCGATATGGTCTGCAGGAAACATAGGAGAGGTAAAACAGGAATGAAAATGTGCTTCGTTGAAGGTCGCACTTCATAACAATGACATAACACATGATGGAAAAGATATTCTGATTCAAGAAAAATATTACCACACAGTGACAAAACTCTATATAGGTAGCAAAGATTGGAATAGTGCACTGCGCCTCTGCCTGCACCCCCCCCCCCCTTCAGCCTCCTGCGACCAATACCCTTCAAGTCTCTGGCCAAACCGCCAATATTATACTCGACTTTGATATTTCTGAATGTAATACATGTATATAAATCTTTACCCAGTCATATGAGGGTTTAATTTTTTACTATGTAAGGCAACATATTTTCCTTTTTAATGCAAGGTGGTAGAAACCTATCTTTCAGGAGTCACTTCCTTTAGTCTAGCGTTTAATTCACTATACATTATTGTGGATGCCATTCCAAAAGTAGTGGTTGAATTCCTGTTTTGTTAGTATATTCCACTATACTTTTAGCATGGACTTCCAGTGCTTTACATTTTAGAGAATGTGAAACGATTATGTTTAGAAGAAGAAAATCATATCAGACAAAAATTACCACGCTGAGTGTGAACAGGTAGGCTAGGGTCTTGTTGGGTAAGATTGCGTACGGGATGAAGTCCCCGACCAAGACGGCCTGAACCCCGGTAGACGCTACTTTGACAACGGGAGCCTTAGTGCTGTTCACATTGATCTGCATTGCCATGTTCGGGTACATCTTGTTGATCTAAAATCGAAACAAAAACGAAAACAAAACAAAACAACGAACGATGATACGGCAGCGATGATATATCTTTAAACTTTGGTAGGGTCTGTCAAAGCCTATACATCTTCAACTCAACAACCATTACAGAAGAGATGATGATGGGTTAGTTTTGTTCCCCCTTTCTCTCTTTCTCCCCCTCTCTCCCTCCCCCCTCTCTCTCTCTCTCTCTCTCTCTCCCTCCCTCCCCCTCTCTCTCTGTCTCCTCTTCTCTTTATTCTTCTTCTTCTGTACTCTTCTTCTTTTTCTACCTTTTCTTCTACTTCTTCTTTTTTCTACTTTTTCTTCTCCTTCTCCTCCTCCTCCTCCTCCTTCTTCTTCTTCATTATTCTTCTTCTTCTACTTCTTCTTTTGAACTCAACTCTCCGTCGCTAGCCCCCTCATTTGGTATGGCCTCGTTACCTTCCTCTCTTTCTCCCTTCCTCTTCCTTCTCCCTTTCCGATTTTCACCTCCCTGACCCCCTCCCCTTTCCGCCTCTCTCCCCGACCCCCTCTCACCCAATAAATGATGTCCACATTTTCTTCGACTGTCTATCTAAGGTCATGTCACATCAATGGATCTTGGAATCATTATTTAGCGAGAAAAAAAAATTCGATAAAAATTAAATGCACTATGGAGACGCCCCCAGAATAATCAGATTAAAAAGCCCCCACCCCTCCTCTCCCATGGAAACGCCCCTGTGTATAGCTTTATACCTGTGGGATGAGGAGGTCCAAGGCAAAGTTGGATGTGTTCAAGTAATTCTTCTCTTCAGCAGGGACCTGGATGACGATAAGAAAAACAAAGTTTTTGAAAGTGAAATGGAAGCCAGTTTACATCTACGCCTAAATCGCTTGTTACAGAGCATTAATATCAAGTAAAGTCCCACAAGTTCCATTGTACATGTATAATTATGTTGAAGTCCTTTTGTGTATACAAGTATTCAGAAAATATTATTGGTCCGCAGAAAGTACTAAAGAGGAAGAGAGGTTAGATTACTGTACGATAAAGACAAATTGACAAAACGTGTATGTGAAAAAGAGAGAGTGATTGGGGCGGGGGGGGGGGGGTATTCAATTTAATTAAATTCATTTATTTTTCCTCTTTCAATTGTTCATATTTACAATGATGGTATATTTTAACATATTCACATATTCATATATATCATATAGATCAGTTTGCACAATACAATACATAAAACGCAAAACATTGATAAATATACACATGTTTATAAAAAAGAAACAATCAAAGTTGCATAAAGTCACACTACAAATCATATTTGATTGGGGAATGCAATAGCCTAGTAACTATTCAGGCGGAGGGATGTGGAGAGAGAGAAAGGTGGAGAGAGAGAGAGAGAGAGAGAGAAAGAAAGAGGGAGGGAGAGAGAGAGAGAGAGAAAGGAAGAGGGAGAGAGATATAGATGGAGAGAAATGGGAGGGAGGGAGAGAGGGAGCGGAGCAGGGAGGGAGGAACGAGTGAGCAGGGAGGCAGGGAAAGAGGGAGAGAAGTTTAAGGGGAAAAGAGGGGGTAACGGGATGGAAACATGATGACGATGAGGAAAGGGAAATAACCCAAATATGTGATTCACACGACATAATGATAACGATGACGTCAATAGTCAAGATAAACAAGCCATAGAGTTCACTCACATTTTCAGGGGTCACGTTGTACTGTAGGAAACCGACGTTCTGAAGCGCATAACCGGCCGAGTTGGGCAGATATTCGGTTATCCAGATGAACACCATTCGAGAAATATCCGAGTCGGGTGGAATCTGTGGAACCGGCAGTGGACATTCGGTCGTGTTTCCTATCGGGTACACCTCACCCTGGAAACATCAACAAGAACAAAAATAATGAGGAACAAGATCAGACCAGGGTGTTGACTCTCATCTAGCGCTTACGTCAACGGCCGCACAAGTCACTGACGCAATCGTACGTCAGGAAACTAACGCCTCGTGCGTAACCGGCATATGAATGAGCATACCTTGTGAGCAGTACTGATGGAACCATTGAAGGAAGGGCTCTCTACCAAAGAGTAGTCAATTTCGACGACATCTCCTACCGGGGCAATCACTACAATAAAGATAAAGAGTAAGAACAAAATCCATTATGTTATTTGTTGCCACCAAACTGTCAATTACCTTTCCAAAGTAATACATTTCTATCTAAACTTTTATGAATCTCATCAGTTCATTAAATCATTTTTTTAAATAAATCTCATGTTTAGCTTGTTCTTCTCTCTAATACATTTGTAAATATAATTTTACCTCAATGAGTTGTCCATCAGAGTATTAAACTTCCCCCTTCTAATTAACCCCCACTCCCCCTCATTACAATATTAGTTTCTGTCTGTTCCTTTTTGTAGTATTGTGAAAATATGATGTTATTGTGTTAAGAACTTTTTCTTCGCAATGCATTTTTCTTTCGTTTCTACATTACATCATGGTACCCTGTTTAATATTATTTTCAACCATCACTCATGCAAGTTATCTTCTAAACGTGTAAGTTTGTTTCTTGTTTATTTTTACCATTTTGATTCAACAATATTTGCGACGCATGGTTCTTCTTTTTAAAATACATGTAGTACCATTTTGAATGAATTAATTAAAAAAATGCATCAAAGATGAGTAATGGTCTAGCTGGGAAGGACAGTTTGGAAGTGGTTGTCTGGACCTAGTAAAATCCTACCTTGCAAGTCCTTTAGTTCGTCTTCCAAACTGCCATTGACTTCATCGATAACTGTATCACAGATCTGAGTAAGCAACCAAATAATATCCGAGTTGGATAACCATTTAACACCGTTTTGTACGATATCCCAAATAACCGATGGTGTTACAAACCCCATCATAGTCGTAGCCTATCCCGAAATAGTCAACTTATTCGATTCGTAAAATTTGACCCCTCAAAAAAAATAGTGAGATAGTCTTTGAGGGTAAAATCTGTTGGATAAAATGGGGGTGACTATTTCGGGACAGGCTTCTGACCTACTAGCTGTTTTTATATTCACGAACTTGGCGGGAATGGTGAAAATAGAAGGTGCCATTCCCAGTATATCGCATGCTTGGTAAAATAAGGCAGAACTGAAAACTCTTCTGATAATTAAAAGAAAATATTGCTGAGAACAGTTTTGGTATAGGTCGATCCTACCATTCTTTTAGAAGAATGTATATAGTGGCAACCACAAAACATTAAAAAGTAAATATTTATTGCTGTCAAGTCAAGTGTACTT